CAAAGTTCAAGCTTTCAGACCGTGTTCACGTTTTTCCGATCCGACCCACGCAGCTCCGGCTGGACGGCCGCGAACACTACGAGCGCTGGCCGCCGGGTTCGGGTTCGGTGGGCGCGCCAAACAGGGCTCGTATCGCTGTTGTTTGTTGTTGTTGTTGTGTCTTGTCTGCTACACCGAACATTCGTGATTTCACAATATTGTCGGCTTTTGTTTTCCAACTTGCCTAATATGTCAACACTATTGTCCTCAACATCTTCCCGCCATTGCCGTCCTGAAAGTTTTTCTTTGCTATGTGAAAACCTAATTCGTTCAACATGCCGTACTGTTTCGTCCCAGAATGTCGCTCCGGCGACAAAAAATACATGGACAGTCTAAAATCTGAGGGAAAAGAGGCTCCTAGCTTTTTCCAGCCACAAAGTGAGGTAGCTATGAGGTCACCTGTTGTAATACTGAGACTTGTCACTTGAACAGAAACTCAACTCCGTTGTGAAATCCTGCCTTTTGCACCTTACCCATACAAATTAACTCTCTTAACATGTTTGTGGAATGCGACCCTCTGCACTGGTATTGAAGTAGTACAAGCTGTCTTGGTTTAAACAGAAAATTCTTCCAGAAATCTTTCTTGTGTTTGCTTTAAATGCAATGGATTTAAGTGTTCTTTAAATATTGTTACGGCATATCTCACACAATACCAATGTCAAAGGGAAAAAAATTATGGTTACAAATAAGTTGTCATAGAACACACTCATCAAATTTCAATACACAAGTAATTACTAAATGAAGAAAAAATAAAGAAGCACTTTTGTTACATTTAAAAGAAAATTCTCTGAAAAAGTTGTAAATAAAATGATAGGCCCCTATGACAGCTTATTTGCATAAACTGCATAATATTTCATACTCAATGAACATTACAGGAACAGTGTATAATATGGAGTCATAAAATACATAGACTGGATGAAAAGACAAAAAAGTTGCTAATCATGACTAAATCGGACAGAGTGTGTTCTGAGCACTTTTTACCAACAGAGTGGTCAGCTTTCTATGAAACCAAATTACCTGATGGGACTGTACACAGAATTAAAAGAGGGAGAGCTATCCTCAACCCTGGAGTAACGCCTAGTATATTTAAAGACTACCCTAGTTATTATCAAAAACACAAAAGTGAACGTAAACCCCCAACAACAAGTGCAACTGATAATGTTCAGTTTCAATCTGCTCCTGAGATCACCCCATCTGATGATTGCACTACCTTTGAAACCCCTAGTTGTGACACTAATCACACAACCACAGACCCTGAGATCCCTTGTACAAATGAAGTATGGGATTTACTAAAAAATATCCAAATGCCACTAGGCTGGATTGTGACAAGAAATGTTGAAAACGCATCTTGTCTTCTTGCTCACATGAGTAGTGAGCAGGTCACAGATAAGAATAGCTATAATTTTACCATGGACAAATATATCAATTTCCTATCTAATCCACCTAACTTCTGTGAAGTTAAAATACAAGGAGTTCTCTATCCAACAGTTACATCAATTGTTAAAACTGAAGAAGATGTAAGAAATTTACTTTCACTGGTAGACTCTTTAAGGGTTTGTGGTGGCACTGGAAATGGTAATAAATTGTTTAGCAAGGGGTGCACTGGAGCTCTTTACCCCAAGAGTAATTTCGAAAGATGTGCATTTTGTCATGCTGAGAAGGATAGATTGAGACAGAAAGAAAAGCGTGCTGAGAAAGTAGAAGAGCGGAAAGAGAAAAAAAAGAAAAAAATAGCTAGTACTATGAAGTCACTTCGTAAATCTAAGGCAAGATTAATACTCAAGGTAAATGCACTTTACATTTAAAGTATCCAAAAAAAAATGAAGTGTTATAAATAGATGAACTAATTTAGTGTTTCTCTAATAGGTACAAAAATTACAAAGGGATTTGCAAAATAGTCAGGAACAGTGTAAAGCTGTTAAGGCAGAGGCACTTGAGAAAGCCATTGCTGATTTGCCCCCTGCTCAGCAGGAGGCTGTCAGGGCTTGCTTTAATGCGGCAAAAAAAAAAAGGTGTGTGTGGCAGACGTTACAGTATCCACTGGGTTTATGAATGTCTTCTGATGCGAGTCAAGAGTCCTCGTTTGTATGACCACATAAGGGACAATGATATTCTTGCCCTACCCTGCCACTCTACTTTGGCTGCATACACTAAAAATATGGGAGGTGGGTTTGGATTCCAGAAGGCTACACTAGAACTTATGAAAAAGAAATGTGCCACCATGGATGATGAATACAAGAGGGGTAAGTAATTCAAGAAGAGAAACACGGAGACAATTTACTATCCTTTCATTATTCCTCATATTCATTTTTCCATTAACTTTTCAGGGGTTCTACTTATTGATGAAATGAAGTTAACTCCAGGGACTACTTTTAACAAGGAAACTTTGGAGGTAAAAGCTGAAAAGTGTTAAAATTGCATTATGAAATTCCTTACCGTGTTTAACTTGAAATACCTTTCATATTTTTCCACTTCAGGTTGACGGTGTTGCTCAGCTAGAGGATAATGAAGTGAATCCAGAGAACAATGATGGAGCCACAAATGATGAAAATCCAGAGACTAATAGAGTCACAATTGAAGGGGATCCGGAGGGGAATGATGATGATCCCGATGACCCCTGTCCTCCTCCCCCTAAAAAAGCAAAGAAAACAAAAACACAACCAATTAAAAAAAGAAAGAAGAAGTCTCAGAAACAGGGTAAAACAAGGAGGAAAGGAAACACAAAATTAATTTTGTGTCAATACTGAGACTCGTTCTTTACAGACACCTTCTTATTTGACAAGTGCCTTACTTTTTATAACTTCAGAATGAACAAGTACTGATCTCGTAACATGAGTTAGTAAACATAGGTATTAATTTTAGTAATACTGTCGTACACAAAACTGGAAATGTTGTTAGGTAATTTTAAACAATTTTATGTAGTTATTGTGTGTTGTGTTTGTTGTGTGTTTGTATCTGTAGTGCATAATTGTATTATGTGATTTGGCATGCAGAGCTACTCAAATAACAAATATGAACTTGGCATCTTTTTTTTCTCAGAATAATTTATTAAATCTTTGCTGTAAATGATTATTATTCAGAGTTATAATTGAAAACAGGTTACATTGGTGTATAGAAGTGCTATTTATCTTAATATACATTTTTTAACTGAATGCATATGTATAAAAAGTAGTAGGTGCATAGAAGTGCATTATGGAATTATAAGAAGTATAATAATATGTTGTCGTATGGTTTAATATGTTGAATTGAAACAAATAGAAATGTGAAATTTGTTTCGTTCAGTGGGCAGAAAAAATTGCTACTTTGAAATAATGCGAAATATACTGAAATTTAGTTTCGTTATTGTAGTTCATGATTCAGATACATTAGTCGAAGAATCCCCTTTTTAAGTAGAATTGTTCGTTGCTTGTATTATCACTGTTATCAAATCACAAAAAAACAGTGATGTTACATCAATAGTTTTGATGTTTCAACAATTGCAAGTCATATCGGGCATTTCTGGAAGCAACTGTTGTTATCAGCTGATGTGAACAATGCCTAGGAATAATATAGAAAGTGAATTAGGTGTACTTATAAATGAATACAGTGGACAGAAATATTATTGTGAACAATAAGTAAATAATAAGTTAAGTATAAATAAATGGAGAGTACGTGCAAGTAGTATGTGTAGTATGAATAATTTTTCAATTACATCAGGTGCTCTTAGTGCTGGCAAGTAACATATTAGAAATAAAATACTCTTTGGAATGAGTGTGCGGTGTAAGAAATAGCATATAATCAGTAGAAAATTAGAAAATTAATATCTCATCAAATTGTTGGTGCGGGGAGATAAGTGTCTAATTCCACAGGAATTTATAATCGTAGGTTTCATAATGTCCCTTTCCACTTGGCTTCCTCTTCTTGTGAATTCCAGTCACCATGAACCTTGGATTTTTTTGTTTTTTAATCTTTTCTAAAATTTTCTTCTGTAGTTGTTTGCTCATGTCTGCCACTGGTTTTGGCATTTTGACTTTGATGAGCTGACTTTTATTATCTTTCAGCGTTGCAATGCATGTTTTGTAAGGTCCATGGTACCCTGAGTGTTTCGTTATGAATAGCTTCATAATTTTATGTGGCACATTTTTTTTAATGTTACTGCATGTTAGATTCGATGTGTTTGAATTCAGTGAATCAAGATTGTCTGAATCCTGTAAATAGAAATTTTACATGCCATAAGTTGTCAAATGAAATAATTAAAATATAGGTAATAGTTGTATATGTAATTTAGTTACCTCTGCAGAAGACTCTGAGTCTGAGTCTGAGTTGTCACTGGAACTCTCTTTGTTTGTTTTTGATGTTTTTTTCTTTTTTGGTTCACTTTCATCAGATGATGATGATGAGTTTCTTCTGGACTTCTTGGTGGTTTTTTTGTATTTTCTGTCTTCTGTTTTGTGTTTTTTATTTTCTGGTAATGAACTATCAGAGTCAGAGTCACAGTCTTCTATGCGTGAAGGTTCCCTCTTTCTTTTCTTTGAAGATTTTTCATTTTTGCTGACTCTTTTTTTGCATGAATCTGTAGGTTTGGAAGAATGCTTTGTCATAGTTTCTTCTTCTTCACTTTCTTCATCTAAAGTATCTGCTGAATCATTGTCTGATGATGATGTCATATGCTTCTGATGGTTCATGTCAAGCAAAACAATGGTTTAGATTAAATGTTTTATGCATGTATTGTATGTGTATGAATGAATTTTGTTTCACCACATTTCAGTTATCAAAGGAACAACATCAGAATGTACTTATGGACCTTTAGCAAAGCTGTTGTTTATTTTACAAGCTTTTGCAATTGTAGGTACTTTTTGATGTTGTTTTTTTGTTAAGCGAGAAGCAGTGAAACAAAATTTTCTCTATTATTTGCAAACGTTAAATAACTTTTTAATTTGTACCTGTTTTATCTTCTGTCTGGTAGATGTTTTTTCCATTCTGTTACTATCACTTGATGATTCTGAATCGGATGAAGAATCTTTTGTTGCATGCTTGGTGCTTCTCTGTAATA